CTGGACTTTACTGTGTATTACCACATCCTGTTCAAAATGAGGCAATGGGTTAAGCCTTCATCTGCAGCTCTGCTCTTGTCTGTCATAGAGCAACTCCTGACATCCTGACCCACAACAATTGTCATGAGATATGAATATTGACTGAAAGAAACAGGTCTTGTCATAAGCAACTGACATATACAAACTGCAGGACGGCTGGACTCAATCTTTGAGCTTCTGTGAGGAGCTCCTACATCCTACATCCAAACAGTCAGCTGAGATTCTTCTGCCAGTCAATCCAGATGTCCACCGGATGCCTTTGGAGGTTTTTACCACGTCCCACTGGAGGAAGACCTCATGGTCGACCCAAAGTTTACTGGGTAGATGGGTTTTTGGATAGGCAAAAAAACCCCATAAACAAAACAATGGATGAATAGAGTGATGGTTCAGATCCCTCCGTCCACCTTAGAACAAGACACTCAGTCCTGGTTTTTGTATATTTGACTTTATTGCTCCAGTGCATCTTGTACTTTTCATTCTCCTGTGTTTCTTTGTAGATTAACGATGATGTTTCCTCTGAGCTGTAACTGGGCTTGTGTTGACATCTCAAACACTTTAACTATCTGGTGTGTGTACAAGTGGGGATGTAATTAGGATTTCTTGAGGGAAGAAATGGAATCTTGCACTAATCCCACAAAGCACTTTGCTATTAGTAATTTGTATTTGCTTTGCAGTGTTTGACCTATTTTGCAAACTATAAAATACATGTATGTTAAACATTTTAAGAAATGTTTCCTTTAGGTATCTCAGATAAGCATCCTAGCTTGCAGTTCACTGACCTACATTAAACCCACAAGCATCCAAAGATATCAACTCATTTCAATTCAGTGCAGTAAACCACAGTGTAGCAACTGAGCAGTATGAATGAATAAGTCATTTCATGTGCGGTACATGTGGCTTATTTCACATTTTATAATTTATACTGTTGATCTTTTCAACAACTTGAAACAGTCGGGGGTACTGCAGAAGCTAGATGAATTGTTAATGCCTGCAAAGCACCTTCAGTAATCTTTTGTTTTGTGTGTTGGGCTGCTGAGTATGAGGTATCAGAAGAACTGCACACATTGGTTGCACAAAACTCAAGTTTTGAATTATTAAGTAGGTGATTCAATTCAATCATCTAACATGTTATCTTCTTTGATTTCGCAGGATTTGTCACTTGAGCTGTAACTGCAAACATCAAAAGGAGGGCAACTCTTTCCAAACTTCTTCAATAGCAAACAAAAAGAACAATGTCTGCAGGGAGTGCTTTCAGCGGATGAATCAGTGTTTTCACACTTCAACTGAAGCATACCAGACTCATCCAGATAGTGGATGCTGTAACATATTCACATTAGGGGGCTTTAAATCCTTAATGTAGAAGGAAAGATTCAACTCAGAGGATGTTTTGTAATTCAAAAGCAGCACAGTAGTTCTCTGTTTCTCAGAGGAAAAATTCAGCTGTGTTCTCTTGTGGTCTTTCTTTCCTCATACTTTCCTTCATAGTCCAGAGAGACTGTAACTTTGTCGTTTAGAGAGTCTGCAGATGAACAGGGACAACTAACTAAATCTTTCCTGGATTTGTGAGAGCCTTTCCGAAGGGACCACCGATACGAGTACCTGAGCTCAATTTTTTCTGAATTTTTTGTTGTAGTCTCACAGGATCTATGAAATAAGACAAATGTGCAATAATTGGCATTCAGATCTTTGTAATTCAGTTTTGGGCCACTGATGCCATAAAGCACAACCAATCAACACTCTGCCTGTTTACATTTACAGTTATATCAGTTGTACATACTGTAAAAGAAGTATATTTGTCAAAGCTGCCCAATAATCATAATTTTGTCACAGCAATAACCCTAAGTTTGAGACATATGTCTACCTTCAGAGGACTTATGCATATTTAAGGGGGAACAGGCAACTCAAAATTAAATTTATACAAAAATGACTCAGAAGGACCATTTGAATAACATTGTCATTTGAATGACATTTTCAATGTTATTCATTGAAAATCTGAAAAGTAACCTTCAAATTTGGGTGCAAAAATGTAATATTTCAAAATGTAGGTTTGTGATTTGTCTGCCAGCCTCCATAAAAAGCTTTTCTTTCATTCGCATTTAGCACATGATCTGTCTCAAATTCATAAAGAGGTTTCAGTTACATCATGTAGCTTTAACTTAATCACACAAAGAGCAAGTCACTTGCAGCAGCCTGTTTCCTCTCCCCTGCCATGCATAACTTTTCATGTCTATGTAGGTCAGTTGTCTCAGTGATGCTGCTGCTCTGAATCATTTCTCTTTTAGTCCTTTATTGTTCATTCAGTCATTTTACTAGAACATGCATGCTCCAGTAGTGGAAAAGTATGAAAAATTAAACTTCTAATTAAGAAACTAGTTTATTTATGGCAGTGAAAAGGCACAAAATTCAGCATTAGTGTGTTTATTTAGGGAACCAATTTTCTTTTCGAATGGTACACAGCCTCCTGCTGCTCAGAGTTTCAGGTAAAACAGCTTTAATGATCACACATCATTTTTAGCTCCTTTGATCTCATTTATTTCCAGTTCACCTTCTCATACTGCAGAGTCATGAACATTTATAATATGCAAAACTCTCCTCTGAAGCTTTCATGTTGGGTGTGATTTAACAAACCTTCTCGGAGCCCGATGACGTCAAAGCGCTATAAAAAGCGTCTTGCCCTGCCTGGATGTGCTGGGCCTGAGGTCTCACTTCAAAAATAAACAAATGAAAACAAATAAAGACAAAAATACTCACCACACCTCTCAGATATGCAAACACAAACACATATTCATCCTTGACCTGATATGCAAACTGCAATTAAAGCTGTTTTGGTATGCGAACATACGCCCTGTAAACAGACTCCACTGATACGCCACACACTGCAATTCCAGCAGATAAGAGGGAGTTAGGGGTGAAGGAGGCAGAAAACATCATGGAATCCATTAGCACTTGCATTGGGACTGTTACTCTCTCAAATAATCCATTGTGCTTCTTTTGTCGACAGATAAAACCTGGAGAGCTGTTTCCACAACAAATATTCTCATTCAGCATGTGAGACATTACCCTTGTCTTATCTCAGAAACATATGGGAAAAGCTTTGATAGATTGTGTCTCTATAAAAAGCCATCTTTAGTCAGAAAGTGATGCTTTAATCCACCCAAACCTCTTATAGTGTCTAGCATTCATCTCTCAATGCACTTTGTTTTCGGTGAAGAAGCACAGTTTGGCTTTCAGGAAACTTTACACCACTTTTTAATTAATTAACATTTGATTACATTTCTCAGCTTGAGCTGTGAGTCTAAGTGTCATGTATGCAAGTAATTGCCTGGAGATTAGTTTTGCCCGTCGCAGATGGAAAAATCTCCCCTCACCAGTCTGTGCTTTTAAAAAGCTTTCTTGTCCACCAGATTTATCCTCCACACAGTTTGCATGCTTATGGATTAGTGGAGTGCTGCACTAAGGAACGATACAGAATCAGATGAGGGAATTATGTTGATCAACATCATTAGCTCCGCAAAGAAAGATGGCAATGTTGCACAGAGAACACACCATCCATAAAGGGTCAAATGTATTTCTCTCAAATTAAATGAGATCTTTAATTACACATAATAAAATCAGTTTATTGTGCTCTGAAATAATTTAGTAGAAATGAATGATTTACTGCCTGAAGGCTGATTATTACTGAGGGACTCATGTAATGTGAAAGCTGTTTATTTATTGGATAATTTCACCCAAAATCCTGCAACCTGAGATTCTTCCTGAACAGAAAGCTTAAAGTATAGCAAGTTTTAGAACCATTAGTAAAGGTCCTGGAATTATAAAAGATAGCCCCCACTGGATTGCTACCTAAATGTATAAGGCAGCAGAAATCCAAGAGAAGCATTAATCATTCCAGAACTGGAACAGAAACCAAGCAGTGGGGCGATAGAGGCAGGTGTCTATCACCCTCCAGCCCTCAAGGGACGCTGTCCTGCAACTTTTACAAGTCTCTCTGCTTCAGCACACCTGACTCCAATATTTGCCCATTAGCCTCACTAGCACAGCATGCTAGTGTGGCAGTTTTTCCATTTAATTAAAGTGTGTAGGACATCAGCATGTGTGTGTTACTGAAATGATAAACTGTTCACTTCTATTGGAATTAATTGAGATTCACCTGTAGAGACAGACAGACAGTCAGAAGCACTTCCAGTTCTTGTCTGTGTACAAACCCAGTTCTCTGGGGCATTTGCAGGAACATCTGTTGCCTAAAGAAATATATTTCAATTTGGATGACATCAGTAAACCGAGGTGTTGCAGATTTTGCTATCCTTGGCAACCAGACCAGGAAAGAGCGAAGATGAGGGTGAAAGTAAAAGAAGAAAACATGACGGACATTAAATAATGCAACAGCCTGATAATTGAGTCATAATGGCTTTAAGTCAAATACAGTTTTTGCAACTTACGCTGCTTCCTGTGTTTCAGTAAGGTGTGATGACATACACAAACAAACACTAATTGTGCGGTCTGGGAACTTCCATTCTTGCCATTGGCTAACTTAAATGACCTTTGCCGTGGGCCAGCCTCGGGCACAAAACAAATGCTGGTGAGATTTCTCAGCCTGTCTCTCTATTTCAGTCCAACTTTTGCTCTGGAAATTAATGAATAAAAAGACAGAGGACTGTCACAGCAATAATTACAAACTGAATAAGTGGGTGACCTTAAATATTCACCATTTCTGATAGTTCTCAATGCTATCATAAAGATTTTAGTGAGAAAAAATATCAAACTGAATTAGCGCATGAAAGAAAAAGACATGGGGTGTTTTAACACATGACAGTTCGATTACATTTTTATCTGGTGTAGTTTATGTTCACACTGCTCTGTGCCAAACAAACCAAACCCTTTGAGAACCTGTTCCCCCCTTCTCCTGTAGGGGGTGCTGCAACAAGAACCACTAAAGGAAACAACACAAAAATCTCTGAATGCCTTGTGCTATAATCCACAACATGTCATCTTACAGGAATAAGACAAATGTACAAATTTTTCACATATCCACTCAAATGGATTTCAGGACTTTATTGAGCAATAAAAAATATACACCAAGGAAAATATCATCATTTCCCCTTTTCCTCATATTTTATCTTCTCTCATTTTTTAAAATCTGACAATTCCAGACGAATAATCCATGAGCCAATGTGACAAAATAAAAAATAAAAACAATCAAACAAAAAAAATATATAGAGCAGTCGATTTAATTCACCAATAAAAGTTGAGGACCACTGAGACTGTCTGTGTTATTGTTTGAAAATCTGAAAAGAAGAACAGGTTTGAACGGATTTGGTTTGAACGGGAGTGAAATCACAGACTAAGTGGTCACATCCGACTCTGCCTCTTCGTAGAGTTCTGCTAGTTTCTGGAACTCGGGCCCCCAGTCTTCCAGGTAAGTGTACTCCTGCTCTGACTGCACGCCGGCAGAGTCCAACGGGCTTATGGACCCTGTGGATGAGCCCTGCCCCTCGTAAGCGTAGGTCTGGAGTGAGTCGTAGGGCGGCACGCTGGTGTCCATGTCCGCCTCCACTAGTCTCTGTTTGATGAATTCATGCACGTCCACCTCGTCCAGCTCCACTGTCGGGCTCCTGCAGGGGGGCATGCCACAGTGATTCCTCGCGTCTGGGCGAATGTCTCGTCGGAACTTGAGTTCCTCGGCAGCGGCTGGATTCCGCAAAGCAATGATGTCAAAGGCCTCTGTGTCCTCCTCTCCTCCGCCCTCGTCGTCGTAGGTCACCACGTTTTCTCTAATGTCCTCTTCAGCGATGATGAGGGGCTCCTTCTTGCTCCGCTTCAGTGTAACAAAGAGAACCACGATTGCTGCAAGACAGAGAAAAACTATTTTTTATATTGACTGAAAGTTAATAGGTAAAAGAAAACATTCATTTTGGAGCAATCAGCAACAGGAATGACTATTTTCTCCATTTATGTGAGGAAACGCTGACCTTTGAGTTGTGTCACTACAAAGAAATTACTCTGTACTCCAATCAGTTTAGTGATTATATGACTCTTATCAGGACTATAAATGTATTGAGCATTGAAGTCAACATCAGGCAGTGGCTGTCATTAGCATTCTCTAAATCTAAGCTTTCTGTGATTAAAATGCAAACTTTTTAAGAGCACATAATATGTACATTTTCAGGTCACACAAGGTGCCACTTGTAATATGAAGGTTTAACCTTTCAGGAACTAAAAACACCAACATGTACGTCACCAGATTCTAGAGTCCTTTACATCTGTCCTCAAATGTGCATCCCTGCACAATTAAAGTCAAAAAAGTAGCAAAAGGTAAATTATTTTAGCTACTTAGTTCTGTGATTATGTCAGTCAGTGATCCCAAACAAAGCAACAGACCTGCAAAACAAATGCTTAAGGAGAAAATAAGCTAGGCATTCACTTAGTTGGCCATTTTGCTAAATGTTTCCTTTGAAGGTTACTTCCTGTTGTTGTTCCTAAGTGTCTCTCACACAATATGTCTTTTCCCTCAAAACTCTGGAAAACTAAAGATGTTAAATTTTCTTCCTTACCAAACTGTGTGTCTTATCCATCAATCTTTAAGACTCAGAAAGAGTTGACTAACGAGGAATAAAACAAACTTTCTAAGTCTAAAGTTTTACTTTCAAATGACAGGTTCTAATTAGGATCTGGTTTGAGCAACTGAGAACCTGCTTCATCACGCTAATGATAACCTCTTTGAGAAAAAAATGTAAGCTCACATCAATTTACCACAAAAGCAACAATGAAGACGACACTTTTGTACAGATGAATTGCCAAGAAGGAGATAATTTGCAGCATTAGCAGAGAGAAGTGGGATATATCCGTCTTTTTTACGGAGGTAATGTTGCCTCACAGTTGCATCGTAAAATGTGCAAGCAGAAGGGGAAAAAACCATAATGGTACAAAGGAACATAAAGAGAGATATAACTGATAAAACTGCTTGGAAGGTGACATAAACAGAAAATTGCACATGTGCCACAGCATTCTGTCAGGGTGAGATATCTTTTGGTTGTTAAAAGGTGTGAGACTGGAAGGTGGAGGTGTTAGGAAGGACTTTAAGACTCTGCTCGCTTAACCTAAAACAACATGGATGCTTTTGTCTGATAAATGTACCCAAGCAACACCTACAGGATTCCTCTCATCTGGTGGTTATGGAAACCTATTAAACAACAAAGCACTTTTACGTTTCCCAGTTCACTTAAAGCCGAGTGAAAAAGAAAAGAGCAGGTAGATGGAAAAAGTGGATAAAACATGCTTTATGTTTCAGTGAGAGATAAAAATCAGAAAATGTAGATTTTTTTGCACAGCTGGGTTGACCAGAGAGAAATGCTCCTTTTGTGGTTTTTTGTGAACTGTAGACTAGACTACATTGGACTCGGCTTTCCTCTAAAGGTTTTGTAAAGTAAAAACCAACATCACTACAAAATGTTACCTTTTACCATTCAGGATAAGATAATACATATATTTACCGTGGCTAATATTGAGATTTTTATGTTTTGCAGCTTAAACCTCCCCACCAAAAATAAATAAACAATGAGAAATTCTTATTAACTTATTTTTTAAAAACACCCATAGAATTATTTCCACAGATGCAATTAAAAGTTAAACACAAAGTTCAGCAAAGAAATGTTTCCTTTGTAGCTTTAATTAAAAGTAAAGAAGTTGACTGCGCCCCAAGAAAAAGAAATGAATCATTGACATATGAAGTAATTTATTAATTGAAGTTTGAGGGTGTGTTTTCCATAAATATATCACAACCTGCATATGTAGGGGGGAAGGAAGAAATCATATCCAACTTTCTTCCTGCTGAATTGGCCCGTCCAATGTGGGGTTAGAGAGGGTAAAAAAATGCAATTTGTCTCAGACAGCCCTTATCGCTCTGCTAGTTTAAAACACCCAATTACAAAATGCAGAAATGTAGGGCTGTGTGAGGTGAACTGGGTCATCACTGAGTGAAATTAAACTTTTGTTCCCTTATTTTCGTTCATCATGCAGATTTCGGACGCAGCGCATTGTTTTTCTCCGCCTCGTGCAGATCGTTCTCCGATCTGCACTTTAGCACATGGAAGTAAATAACTTGACTATGACAGATTGTTCCTGGTGAAACCTCGTCTGAGTTTTCACAAAGTGGACTGCAGTTTACCATCATTTTGTTTACCGGCATTGTGCTGCAGAACATAAGATTCAGACGTTCATTGCGCGGTTGTCGAGGTTCTTACGGAGGTTAGTAAACTTCCTGTAGCTTAGTAGACTACAGGAAGCCAATGCACACTGTGAAAAAGTTTTTTGATAAACATTAAAAAGAAAATAAAAAATTATACATTGATTCAGTGCTTTTGGGGAAAGTTCCTAATGCCCACTTTTAAGTACGGTGAAAGATTGATGATGCTGTGGGCCTTTCTCTCTTCCCCCAACCTGGGAAACTTTCCAGAACATGGCATCATGAACTCTCACTTCGTTTTCAGTCATTTGACAAAAATGATGCAGAAAGGCTTTAGGAGTCACAAAATTGGCTCTCTTCCACGGTCATCTCAGTTCACAGCCTTAAATCCTGCAGACAACCTGCAGAGTAAGCTCAGAAATTGTACAGAAGGGAATGATGAAGGGATTCTCTCTCTGTATGCTTCAGCCTTGTGAAATGTTAACAGAAGAATAAGGGCCATCATTCCCTACAGCCGGATGTAAATAGTTTCAACACCAGAAGGGCAAACAATTACTGAAGTTGTTTTTTAGGCACCATCGTCTGGATATGGAAAATTACCCTGGAACAAAACAGGACTTGAATTAAACCGAAAAGCTTAAATAAAAACAGTTTTTATGTGAATCCTAATGGATAAGACTTTAGTTTAAAGGGTATATTCTTGTTTTCCTGTAACATTTGTAAAAAAGGATTTCATTCAGAAGGGCGATCAACAGAGTCCTCAAATACTGGAATTTATCAAACGGCAGCATCGATTAAAGATTTGGGTTTTATTCTGCACCTAACTTTGATGGCTAAAGTTAATGCAGACGTAATAATCTTGGCTTTCATTCATTTCCTATGTCCACTTATTCTTATGGGCTCGCAAAAGGTGTTGGTTCCCGTCTCCTGCGGTCATTGGTTAAGAGGCAGGGGACGTTTTTAGCTTAACACGGGATTGATGAAGTTCTTTTTTATTTGTTTTCCACCCCTTTAATGGGCTTGTATCAGTATAGAGGATCCAACCTTTTGCTCCATTTTGAAGGCCTCTGCAAAAAGACAAGATCTTTTAGATGATGTGTTTATGTCTCACTTGAAAACAAACATTTACTCCATTGTTTTTAACTCAGGGTGAAATTAGCAGATAATTCTTATAAAGGTTTTAAATGATTGTGTTTCTGTCTTGTGTTGCATCTGTGCAACTCTTTGGTCAAAGCAGTAAACATGGTCTGAACAACTGCCAAAAAGTCATAACAGGCTTAAAGAAATGCACAGAATCACTTTATACCCTCTTTAATCTATTTACACTAAACTGATAAATGAATATTTACACAAATGTAAAGAAATGAAGGAATGTTGTTGCAGTTGTCATAACTACTCATTCTCTGTAATAAATTGTTGGAATTGGAAAAAAGAAATGTTTTTATTATGGTTAGATGTTTAATAGATTTTCCAGCTGAAACCAATTAGTACTGTGATGCTGTACAATTTTCTCTGAAACAAAATTAGTATTTGTAATTGAATCTGCTTATTAAAATTATCTAAGTTGTGTGAAAATAAAAGCATTACCCGGCGAGTCGCAGCCATTCAGAGCGAGTATTCCTCTCCGGCCCGCCTCAGACTTAATTAAGGCGGCTTATTAGTGAGCGCACAGGTAAAGCACGGACATTAATCAGACAAATGGAAAACAATCAGGCATAAACAAATAACAGAGACACTCAGACATGAGCGGGAATTGAATGCATGAGCTATGGAAATGTTGTGCTCATGCTGTGACACTTTTGTTCTCAATGCGATCAAAAATATCGACTTTTTCTTGCATTGAACAACCATGAAGTGGGTTGATTTGCTGTTTAAGTTAATTAAAATTGTTTTGTGATTTAATCTGGTGGGACAACAAGGTGAGATATTTAACAAGAATAAAAAACAATAATAATTAAAGGTGACTAGTGGTCCTTACCAAACAGTTTTTCCTTTGATTGTTGAATTTGGTAACCAAATTGTTCTATTCATTGTTTTAGTTCACTTTATGTCCCCAGTTAGGATTCAAGCTTCCCAGTATTCACCAGTTAACCCACCTGCATCCAAATCATCTCATCTTGTGCACAAACAGACTTTTACACTGCATAAAAATATGCATAACCTTTTTCACTTTTCCACATTAAAACAAGACAAACTTTTTCTGTTTCACTTCATCCAACTATGAAGCAAGGAGGTGGTAGAATCATGGTGTGGGTTTTCTGCTGCAGCAAAGGCTCTCATGGCATCACAAGGACAGAACTTTATGTGCAAATATTGAAGCGACATTTTAAGAAATTGGTCCTTACAAAACCATAAAGACCCTGTGTATGAATAAAAACAGAAAATCAAGATTTGGAATTCCTTTTCAACCCACATACGAGATATTTAGTGCACAAATTGATGAACTTTATTGTCTTTTTGCAAAGTTTCACGTATTTGTATTTTGATTACTGAGCTACGCTGCAGATCATTAATCCAGGGCAGCAAGAATCTTGTCGATGCATCTGATTTTCCTCTAAATTTGTGTTCCGAAATGTTATTAAGTACTGCATTCAGAGTAATCAGTGTGTTTAATCTGAGTCTGGGACAAATGCAGCTGGGTCACTGAGTTCACATTCTTAAAATGAGACAGAAACACAAACACACACGCACGCACACACACACCAAATGATGACCAATAAGCAGAAGCTAACCCTGAAAAAGCTCCACTTTGTAAGTCAAGCTGCCAAGTCTTTCTCTGCAAAGAATCATTAAAAATAAACAATGGCTGTGCATGAAGTTACCATGGAGGAGAAAAATGAACCTTATTTTTTTGCATCTTAAGACACAGTTTGTTTTTTTAACCCACTTTTGAATATATTTTTCTTGCAAATACCTTAAAGATGGGAAATAACTGACAGTTACCTAATATGAAGGACATTTATTTGGCTGACACTTACAGACACAGCCTCAGGTCTGTGGGGTTACGGCATGCTTAATGGCTGAGGACGCAGTGAATGCAAACTGCAACACAATTCAATTTTCCTCTACAAAAAATAAATAGGAAGCCGATATTATCACTTCCTCGGGCTCGACATGTCTGTTTGCCTTCCTCATATCTGCATTGTGCTGATGTTTAGGTATTCAGCAAGCATCCGTGACCACGACCGTTTCCTCCAAACAGCGGCGATGGCCTTTTGTTCTCCTCAGCCAGAAGCTTCGGGTTGGAGGAGGAAGACAATCTGTATGATTACGCATAACCTTCACGCGCTAATGTCCACAGACAATCAGTAATGAGAGGAGAGACTCAGTTATTAGAGTTTTATCTAATCATGTCCAAATGTGGAGACGCTGTAGCACCTAACAGAGCTGATGGCTGATTGTTTACATGTGGAAATTTAATGAGCTGCCTTTGATCTTTTTACTTTTATTTCAGTCTTTTTGCAGACATCTCATGGCGCTTTCAGGGCTTTTTCTACTCTAACCCGTTACACCGACTGTCCACCCATCAGACGCGATCATGTTTGCAAGTTCAAGTAAAAATCATTTGCTGTCACAGGAAATCTGGGTTGCCATAGGAACACAGTACAAATCCCCACTAAAGAGAAAGCTGTCTGGCTGATAATACAAGCAATATTGAAAAAAGCGTTTTCTGATTTCGCAGGATTTCCGACGGTCTTTTGTATTCCCGCGGTGGAAGGTGAAACAGAACCAGCAGGATGGCAGGACGTGTTGCTCTTCACATCGTTTGTTGATGTTTATCAGCGTGTGCTGCGCGAGAGACTGCATGCAGCGTCACACACGCTCACAAGAGTAAAACTCAAGTTTTCACTACTCACACTATCACCTGTTATACATTTTAACTGAACTCTTCATCATAATAAAAAAAGCATTTTCTATAAGTCTTTTAGAATTTTAAATTTGTTCACAAAACTGCATCTTCCATCTTTGACTGAAGATAATGCAGCCAAATGCAAAAAGTATATTTTCAAGCTATTTCTGTAAAACACAAGACACAAAAAATGAGGAAAGTTTAGACTTTAACTTCTTTCTGTAAAAAACACAGTTTTAAAAGATGTGTTTATGAAGCATCTTTTCACATTGATGTAAAAGATAAAAACTGCTTTGACTTCAATAAAATAATATTTAAGTGAGTTTGAGCATTTCTAAAAAGTGGGGTGTGTTATTGGGGAATTAGGCTGTTTAATGGGACTACTCTCAAAGGAGCAGAATTGATTTATTGATCAAAGTGTGTCGCCCTCTGCTACAACAGATGTCAATAAGCCCCCTTTCAGCATGTTAGTTTAGTGTTTTTCTTGCTGACCTATTGCCTTGGAGATCAAAACAATTGACAAGCAATTTGGCTGGCATCAAACAACAACAAAAAATATATTAAATACCAAATGTTTTTTGAATTAAGGTCTTGGTTCTTCACTCAGCTCTGGGCAAAAGACTTTCTTCTTGATTGGGTTAACTTAAGTCCAGATTAATAGTTAAATTCAATGACTGTTGTTTTAGTTTGTCCATTGTAAGGAAATTTTCTGGGTGATATTATAACGTAATTGTACTGTTAAAAAGGCAAAATAAGGCCCAGAGTGTTCATGTGTGATAATAGATGAATTTTTAAATAGCTTTTAACTGCACATTTTAGTAGTTCAAATGCAAAATATACCGTGATATGCAATAATACATACAGTGGAAACGATCTTGGCAGGACTGCAGAAGGTAATATCTCCCTCATTTCTGATGTTAGGGGGAGGAATTGATCAATTTAAAGGGTTAACTGCTCAGCCAATGATGATCCGAGTATCATTGTGTTCAGTCATTACAATCTCCTAAACTACATTTATTGAAAACGTTTTAAATGTTGTCTATGGAAAACTGAATATGTGAATTTTCTGCAAACAATTCGGAGTCACGCTCTGCAGAAAATATGTTAACACGCATCTAGTTGGGGGTGCAATGTCATTTATGATCGTGTTTATTGATCTGAAAATTATTCAAACCAAGAAGACTAAAGATGAGATGGTTGAATAAGGCATAACAGAAAAAAGAAGATAAAAATCTTCACCTCTAGTTTTACCCAGAACAGGCAGGCAACCAACTGAATACATATTCCACACTATCTTTTATGTTTCAGGTGCAGAGAATAGAAAACAGTGTCCCATCCTTTCAGCCGGTGTTGACCGCTTCTTGTTTTTGAGCCATTGTCCTGCATGTTTTAGCCGTTTCTGTGGGCGAAACTTCAGAGAATGTTTTGGAAGAACTGGTTGAAAGCATGGAGGACACTGTTGCTGAGGACCAACACTGTACACTTCCCGTTTCAGCTGCATATATTTCCCTCCTGAATGCACCAACTCTCTAGCTGAACCTTCTCTTTCGACATACTTTCTGTTTGACCCTCCCTGAGTTGTACTTACTCATTTCAAATTCCACCAATATCTCTCCATATCTAGCAGTCCCCTCCCCATCTCTGCCCTTGTCAAACTCCTTCAGCCTCCCACTCTCTTAACTCCTCCACGGTCTATCTCCTCCATCCATCGCCCCGGGATATTTCCCCCCAAGAAGTGCCGGTCTTCTGCGGCTCCCCAGAGCGTCTGCCCACCAACTCACCCAGCAGGATGACGATGCACAGCAGGATGGCGATCAGAGCCCCCGTGCTGAGACCCGCAGAGGAGAGGAATGCTTCTCCCTGGCAGATCCGGATCTTGCCGTGGCGCTGGCATGGGCACACCCGCAGGGTCAAGGTGCTGGTGCCACTGAGTGATGGCTCCCCGCCATCCCACACCACGATGGGAAGCTCATAGAGCTCCTGGGTCAGATGGTTAAACCGGCGCCGCCTGGCAATGATGTTAGCTGTGCTGTCTGCAAAGACAAAATGATAAAACAAAAAGACAGTCATACCCTTGGGCTGAAAGACTAATTGGGCACCGCTTTCAGAGAAATATGCAATTACTTTCGTATTGGTGACAATAGTGTCTTAGTCTTGGCATTGTTGCTTTCCTTCTGAAAGTATCCAAATACAGAATGATTTTCTATGTCTGCAGCTCCTCGGCTTGCCAAAGCTACTTAATTTTAAAGGTGTTTGTTTAATTCTTCCAACGTGCAACGAAAGAACAGTTTACCTTGATCTCTGCAGAAACACGTCTGTTATTGCCACGTAAATAAGCAGAAATAATAGGGAGCGAAAAAAGAGCAAAACAGCCGCTGGAGATTTTCTGACAAGATCGACCGTTTGTCCCAAACAAGCAAATGTATGAGGGCTGAAATGAATGCGAGAGGTTTCTTTTGGTGATTGTAGCAGGGAATTATTTTGTACTTGAACCTATTACAAATCACTTTACTCCACAAAACGACAGAAGTGACAAAGTTCAAGAATTTCAAACTGAATGAACTCCTTAGTTCAATTTGATCAGAAATAAACTAAATCATATTTAGGGGTTTCATCAGGAGTCTAAAAGTGTTTTCTATTCTGTTTAAATAGCAAATTACACCTACTATGAGTTACTTCAGGTTTCATGTCAAAGTTTATTTATTAAATTGACACCTTGAAGTTTCAAATAACACAAAACATATTTTTTTATAATGACTTTCCACATTTATAGGCAACAATTTTATTAATTTTGTTATTTTAAGAAGGAACGACCTATTCAAGCCGCCCTTATTAAATATTGAATCAACTGTAAATGAACACTTATTTTGTTTGTTTTTTTTAGTTAAAGTTAAAGTAACTCGTTTTTTGCCACATAATTTCATAAACAGATTGGATCCAGGTGAATACAGAAGAAATCACATCAAGTGAAAAATGTAAACAACTAACTGGCAAAAACAGCCCCAAGGTTTAGACATGTCTTTCAGACAAAATGTTTAAAGGAACAAAGAAGACTAATTTAAAACGTCATAATCAACTATTAATAGATAAGTAAAAGGTTTTATGCCTCTACAAAGCAAAAATATTCAGTTTAGCTAAAAACAAAACTTATTATGACAGAGGAAACAACAGTGAAGATATATATTGACATATATGTGGCGACAGCTTTTCCGTCAATAACAGCTTTTAAAATCTCTGCTTTTCTCACAAGAAGCCATTTTCTTAAAAAGCTAACTTAAAAAAGTCCTCTTTCTGTAGGTAAACTTCACTAGGATTCACTTTAGCATAAAAGACAATTCCAGAAAAATTTACTTTGCATATATAAATTGCATGGTTTGCAAAAGAAACAATAATTTTTTTCTTAACGATTAGGCTAACTCAGTAAGCCTCAATTTAATAGAACATGCAAAGCAGTGAGACAGGACAGCTGAAGGGAGGGAAGAATCAATACAATAAGTTTTGTCAGCAGGTTTTATTATATCGATTGCAGAGTAGAGATATGTGGGCATATTTCATTCAACAATTTGCTCATATTAGCTGCTTATATGAAAACTGGGGTCTCTGTGTTCTTGGTGTTGAAGGCAAAACTTCAATTAAGCTAAAAGAAAGCATTCCTTATTTTTGTTTTACTTTTCAAAGTCAAGTAAAAAGGTTAAACATCTATTTTAAAAGCACATCCTTTGAGAATATCACAAATTCACATGTTTTCTAAATTACTAAGGTATTTTTAATGCTGCGAATAAATTTCTGTGCCTTCTTTCCTTCTTCTGATGAATTATAAATTAGTTAAAGAGCAACAAATTTATCACATCCAGCTGTGCAGAACATCCTCTTCTTACCAGATGGATAATTCTGCACCACCGAGCGCCTTGTTAATTAAACTAACACACTCTGTTCGCAAAGGAATGGACATAGTTTGTAAAAAGTAGCAGTCAATTCTTAGAAAAAAACCCAAGAGGCTGAGAACCATCATTACACCATTCTGAATGATGGCTAAATGGTTAATTTGACCTCATCTATTTGTATGTCTGTAATTTTTGTACAGGTTTAAATGAACATTTATCACATGATAAGTGCAAAATATAAATTTTATCATCCTTTTTTTCAAATGAGATATTGTTTTTATCAAGAAAATTGCAGCCAAGGTGTATTGTTACAAATGCAATGAAAAAGCTTGACAGAGCACTCTGTCAAAAGAAGGTTTGATCGGCACATTAAAAAGGTCATTTACAGATGTTTATTAAACGTCAATAAGGTCACATTTCACATCTTTTCTTCACATCAGTGGAAATAAAATAAACATTGTAGATATATATGACATCAAGAGTCCTGAAAGATACTGTGGGTGAAAACTGAAGATATCATTTCTGGATGAATAACTGAGTTTGCATACTGATGACACGCTGCACGCTGATCTCGATGTTCACGCTATTTAAGTTCTGAAAATGCTGAATCGTGTAGCAGGGCAGCGTTTTTCCCTCCGCCCGGTGGAAACACCTCCGCCGTGCTGAACTATCGAGCTGCTGCCGCTCTGAGACCTCGCCTCCCACTCCAATCTCGACTCCATCTATGAATAATTATTATGATCGACAGTTGGAAAGACATCACGTACTTCAGGCTTTATTAAGCCAGGACTCGTGTACCGCCGCATCAGCCCGCAGATGGGCGGAGGCTTCAGAAGACGCCAAACGGCACAGAGGAGAGGCGAGGATTCAGAGCCTGGATGTCTGAACCAGAGGAGGCTCAACAAAAATAAATAATCGGTTTTGGTGTGTACGCGCAGGTCCTTGTACTAACCACAGAGAGGAAGTTCAGATCCATTATGCTATGGTAATTCACATGTCTCGTCGCAGGTGAGAAGAGGAGAGCGGTGTGATTGCAGAGTGAGTGTGATTAATGCCTCAGCGAGACAGACCATCTGCAGCCAAACTGCATCCACAAAACACCATGATGAATACAAAAGTTTGGCTGCAGCAACCACAAAAAATGACCGGCACTTAATAATTTGGAATCATTAGATTTATGTATTTTGTATTAACCAGGTAATACAACAGTCCAGCATAGAGAACCACCCAGCCGTTTCCCTTCCACACGACACACACAGTAATTAGTATGCACTGCATGTGAGGCTCTCCTCACGCTCTGGGTTCCGTTCTGCACTGAGCAGATTCTTTTTCCCAAAACCATCAACACAATGCAATGCAAGAGTCACTTGGACAGATTTCATATTCCCATGGTGCATTGCAAAATGTTCCAAAGTTTTTCCCAGTTTTGTCTCCTTAAAACTACTAAGTTCAGTTTTCTATAAATTAATTTGAGGTAGATGGGGTTGAAATATGGCTTCCAAGATATTTTGCAAATAAATCTTTGAAAAGTGCGGTGTGTGTTCATTCAGACATACATTCAGACACATTGATAACCTTAAAAAAATGTAGTACAACCAAGTGTTTTTTTTCAGTGTTAATGCATCTTGTGAAGAAGCTTAAGACTAAGGAGCCCATCAGACAAGTAAAGGGAAACATAGAAAAGTTTGAAAACAATAATTCAAACTTTGAACACCCCAGAATCCAAACTGATTCATCTAAATATAGTTTTCCACCTAAACTGTGAGGCTGACCAGAAAAAAACAAGCCCAGGGTCTGTCTGGAGAACAGGGTCTGTCTGGAGAACAGGGTCTGTCTGGAGAACAGGATCTGTCTGGAGAACATGCCCAGATCCAGAGCTCAGGTGAGAGGATCTGTTGACATTTGCAGGAGAATGAACTGATCTGGTCTTCATGAAAGCACTGAGAGAAAACAATAGTTTGGAAGAAGACAAGAAATGCCCCTCGCAGTTTGCCGAAGGTCATTCAGATGAGACAGGAAATGTAGAAGAAGTTGCTCCAGTCAGATCAGTCTCAAAATATTTGTCTAACATGCAAAATGCTGAGCTATCAAATCAGACACTGCAAAGGAGACAGGTATGACAGGAGGAGAGATGGATAAGGAAACGACAAAGTAATGCTGAAACAGAAGGAAAAGATTTACCCAAAGGTAGAGAAAGTGAGAGAGAAAAGCCTTGGGGAGCAGAAGCTCCAGTAGCAAAGTAAACTTGTCATCAGCTAATCATTCTCGCTCTCCTGCTGTTAACATTTTACTTCTGTGAACATCAAAAATAATCCTCCGTCAGTTCATCTGTTTCCTGTTGCAAATTGGCCTCAAACTCCCAGTCGATCTTGTCAGATGGAGTCTTGTACTAATCTAGGTTCTGGTTCTGCTGGAAGTTTCTTCTTGCTGCATTTCCTTAGAAAGAAATTCTCCAAGTCAGCAACAGAAACAAAGGCCGTCAGCCTTTGATCATAATCCAGAGATATGAAGCAGAGGTTAAAGGCAACATCAGACATACAATAAGAGCAATCGGGGAGCAGGTAAAGGTGATGTTCAGGATCAGGAACTCAAGATAGAAAAAAGGTGTGGCAGGGGTTGATGACAGCCGACAGGACAAGAGCGGCAGAGCAGAGAAAATCATGACAAGTAGATGAAACTTGTAGACAAAAATCAACGGATCTTTAACATTTTGTTTATGTAATAACATTGCAAGGAATACATATTAGGTTTTCCCGTTAGGGTTAAGAGTCTGAGATATAATTTTTTATAAGAAATAACAACTTTACTGTAATGTTGAAACTGTTTTCTGCAAAGTTTTCTCTCAGGACATAAGTATCAAAAATAGTCCAATAAGTAAATCAATAGCACACAGACACGACACAAACACATCTCAACAGAATTTAGAGTTGCCTACACATGCACTTGGTTGCATTTCTTGTAAACGTTGGTGGGAGTGAGTAGGTGCCAATGACTGGAATCTGCAGCCCTCCAGTTTGCACTTGATATAAGCAGCTGTGGAAATCCCTTTCTGGAAGAAATGCCTATGCTGTGTCCTAGTTTATGAGTTAAACTCTGGCTGTTTCTTCTCTGAGTTAAAGTTTGACTGTCAAGAGAAAAACCCAGTTACA